ATTCAATTATATATATTAAATACAGCCTCACAGGCTTAAAGTCATTCCCAACAGATAATAAAATATCATTCCAATACAGAATAAAACATATAAAAATTAAATACACAATACAATTTGGGAAATAGAGTTACAGAATCTAAAATCTCCTGTATTGCATTTATATTGTTGGATTTCAAAGTTGTTGTTTTTTTAATGAAGTACACTGAATAAAAAAGTTTCAAATATGATTCCTCGGATTTACTACAATGTTTTAAGTTAAGTGATTGTAAACTATTTATTTTGGCTAAATTTAAACAAATTAATAAATTTGAACATTACTAAATATAATTTGTTTGTTTAAATTCAACCCAAATAGTTTGCAACAATTTTGCAGACATCATTTTTTTAGTGTGGAAGTTAGTGTATTAAGAATCCAGAAGCTTTCTTTCTAAACAAGTTGCTGTAAAGTGGAAAATGTTCTAGAATACATTTATTCATTTGATTTCTTTTCAGCTTAGTCCCTTTATTAATCTGGGGTCGCCACAGCGGAATGAACTGCCAACTTATTCAGCAGGTTTTTACGCAACGTATGCCCTTCCAGCTGCAACCCATTTCTGGGAAACATCCATACACACTCATTTACACTCATACACTAAGGACAATTTAGCCAACCCAATCCACCTATACCGCATGTATGGACTGTGGTGGAAACCGGAGCATCCGGAGGAAACGCACGCGAACTTCACACAAAAACGGCAACTGACCCAGCCGAGGCTTGAACCAGCTATTTTTCTTGCTGTGAGGCGACAGCACTACCTTTTGCGCCACTCATACGCCCATATGTTCTAGAATAGATCATTATAATGTTCTTCACAGGAAATAATTGATTCCTTAAAAACATGAACTGTCCACTCAAATGTTTCTATATGGAACAAAAAAACTGGTTAATTTATGTAATCGCTGCCAAAACCTACTTATGGAAACTTATTTTTTTGGAAACAAACCGAAAGTCTTAATTTGCAACAGAGGCTTCCTATGAGATTAAACTTTGCCATCTTGACGCTTCAAATGTTAAAGATTTGAGAGGGGATTTGCTGAGCTGGCAATAAAGCTACCAAACAACTAAGCATAATCCATAATCTCAAAGTATTTTCCATAAGTCAATATCAGTGCACTGATGCTACTGAAAGAATATCCTTCTTTTAGCGTAGTGTTAAAAAGTAAACTATAGTATTTTATTGATCAGATGTAGGTCAACTGAGAGTGTGAATTCCAACCACTGCGTCATTCCCCGCTGCCATCACCTTTATTTCATTTTCTATTTTTATCTTCAAAGCGAGCTGTCTATTAAAGATCAACACAGTCATTATTGTTTCAGTGCTCAGTTAAATTGGGAAAACACCTAGTGTGTCAAAGTTTCTCTCTTTCTCTCTCTTCTTTATATTTCTTTGTTTTCATATAGCTCCATACATATTTATAAGTAAGTTTTGTTCTGTGAATGAACTTCTTATAGTGGATCACAGATGTCTCACTCACAAGCGGAACAGGATGAAATCTACACAGTGTCATCATGGTTAACGGAACCTCTGCACTGTTTTCTGCTGACAGAAGCATTTCATTGATGTTTCTTTATCTTTACAAAGGCTGTTTTTTTTTCTTGGAACACATTATAATGGCTTTTGTGTTTCTTTGGCAACTCTACTTTCAGTATTTTTTCATCACTAAGTTTTGTCCAATGCTTTTGAATTGATGATAAAGGGTTGATTAGAACACGCCTATTCCCTTCATATGCGTAACACCCTTTTTTCCTGTAAAAAGCAGTCTGGTAAACCCTATACCTCAGATGCTCTGTGCTAAATGTGTCAGACATAACCTGTTTTCGGTACTGTTGCACAAGATTAGGTTTTTCCTACAGTATATGCAAAGATGGCTGAGTCATTTCATACACAAAGAGAGCACCTTTACATTTGCAAATTATTTCATCAAAATCAATCAAATTAATCAAAACCAGACATGATGCTTTCAAGAAGCAAATGTGAGCCCTTTAAATCACCTTTCATTCATACATATCTTTGTTGTTTTAAATTTTGGTAAGGATATAATCATTTTGTTGAGTTTTTCCTCATTTTTATTAGTTAAAGTATAGGCTACATGAAATTATAAATATTGGAATTTAATGTTAAAAACATAACTGAATATATATATATATATATATATATATATATATATTGTTACAGTCTGTGTACTGTACTGTGACCCACACATAAGATTCAGCAGGTCACAAGAAGATTAAATGAACTGTATGTTAATTACTAGGCTTATATTTGTGTATTTCTATTTATATGTAGCAGACCTGTAGCCAGCCTGGTTAAAGGGGTGGGGTTCTTTTTCTCAAAAAGTGGACCTTGTTACCGGTATTTGATTCATGTTATATTTAATTATAAGGTTTAAATACTGCATTTTGTTTAAGCACTATTTTTAGCTAGATTAGCTTGTAGGATGTTCATTCATTCATTCATTCATTTTCTTGTCGGCTTAGTCCCTTTATTAATCTGGGGTCACCACAGCAGAATGAACCGCCAACTTATCCAGCAAGTTTTTATGCAGTGGATGCCCTTCCAGCCGCAACCCATCTCTGGGAAACATCTACACATACACACACACACACACACACACACACACAGACACTCATACACTACGGACAATTTAGCCTACCCAATTCACCTGCACCGCATGTCTTTGGACTGTGGGGGAAACCGGAGTACCCGGAGGAAACCTACGCGAACACAGGGAGAACATGCAAACTCCACACAGAAACGCCAACTGAGCCGAGGATCGAACCAGGGACCCAGCGACCTTCTTGCTGTGAGACGAACGTGCTACCCACTGCGCCACTGCGTCGCCAGGATGGTCATCATAATCCCAATTTAATGTACCAAAATATTTCCTAATAATTTTGAATAAAGAAATATTAATAAATACCTAATTTTAAAACAAACATGTATTACATTATATATCATTAGAAAGAAAACAGCTCTGGTAAAGTTTTAAATGAAAAACTATAGCCTATTGTAATTTATTATGTACATCACAAACTTCCCAACACATTCAACTTTCCTCAATCAGAATTTGGCCGTAGATTTGGCTAGCCTTTCTTGTAAAAAAGTACATTTGATTTAAAATTAATGGATGATAACAAAACTCAAATTAGTATTCAAATTCATTTTAATATGGTATGCTTTTGGTCCTTCTCATAGGATAGGGTCCAAGAATAGGGTCCAAGATTTAAAATAAAAGTTACTTGTAAAATGTTTTTCTCTATTGAAAAACAACAGCGAAAGATGAGTTCTCTTAAGTCAGGTTGCATGTTTTCTTGCACAGCTGGATGTTGACCAAATCTGATTAACTGAAGTCATACTGATGTGATGGTCAACAGAGGATTTGGCTTAGTCTTAAAACCTTTTTCAATGGGTTATTTTCACAATTTCTGATGGTGTAGCAGTCAAAATAGGACAAATGAGCTCATGTACAGTATAGGACAAATTCTGAACCTTTGTCATTGAGGGGTGGGTCCAAACCACCCAAACCTTACTGGCTACGGGCATGAGCACATATATGTTTCTTACTTTATTGGTATTATCATTTTATATTAAAGAGAACACTGAAGTCAGTTGAGGAAATAGTTGCCATGACTACAGCTTGTTTCGAGTCAACAAAGAGGACGAATCAACTAAAGGAAAACTCTTGCTTTTCCTCTCTTTTATTCATACACATTAGTCAAATGTGGATAAAATACAGTAATTGTATCAGAGAGAGTGTGTGTGTGTGTGCGTGTGTGTAAATGCATTTGTGTGTAATTGTTTTATTTGTTAATTTTTTGTTAATGTTTGTTCTCCTGGAAAACTGGAGAATAAATAAGAAAATACATTCCATTTTAAATATAGAAATTAGTTTTAAAATACAAACTGATGTCTGATACTATACATTTAGTTTCTAATTCTGTTTCAGAGAAGAAACAATACCCCAAATTGATTTTTTTAAAGCAGCGATAGACAATAATTAAATACTTTAGAAGGAGGCTAATAATGCAGCATACTGTATATATACTTGAAGTCAGAATTATTAGCCCCCCTGTTTATTTTTTCCCCACAATTTCTGTTTAGCAGAGAGAAGATTTTTTTTCAACATATTTCTAAGCGTAATAGTTTTAATAAATAATTTCTATTAACTGATTTATTTTTTCTTTGCCATGACAGTAAATAATATTTTACTAGATACTTTTCAAGACACTTCTATACAGCTTAAAGTGACATTTAAAGGCTTTAATAGGTTAATTAGGTTAACTAAGCAGGTTAGGGTAATTAGGCAAGCTATTATTTGATGATTTTTTGTTCCATGTTTTGTCTGTTTTATCAGACATACAGTAAAGCAGGTCGCACACCAGAAGCGCCGCTCGGCGGCGCGCCACACAGTGCCACCAAGCGACATGCATTTTAGAATTCTAAACATAGGTTTCTATCAGGATACACACACCGGCGCTGTTATATATACAACAGTTCTGTCTGGTTCTCAAATCTGATTGGCTGAAAGCCGTGCGATATTCTGCAATATAAGAACTCCTACAGCCTCTTTACAGTTTGTGTATTACTCCGCACACATACAGCCAGCAAAAAGCAGACACTAAAATTCTAAAGTTTAAAAGATGCTTTTAACTGTTTTAACAGCTGTTTAACTGTCAGCTTATGATTTGAATCCAAAGGCGGAAGAAAGTAGTTCCTTATCCAAAAGGGGTTTTGAGACTCTCCATGTTTGATTTTGTTTTTATATACACAATTATGTCGTCAAACTGCGCAATATCACACTTGTAGCAGTGCGATATGACTGTAAATCGGCACTGGTGGGGGCACTAAGGCATGCCTCCCACCAGTGCCAATATACAGCCATATCGCACTGCTACTTGTGTGATATTGCTCATATATATATATATATATATATATATATATAGAATGGCAGCCCTTCACCAAAATCTTAAGATCTAAATAATTTTTTAGAGCATTTTTATGTGTCTGGCTTTATTTTGTAACCACTGGCATCCACCAATCCAATGCACAGCTATCAAATTTAACATGTCAGATTAAAATATTTTTCTGATAATATCTTCTAATAAAAGGTCTTTAACGTCACAGTTGATATGATACTCAAGAAAAACATACTTTTCCATAACTGCATGTTTTCGTTCCACAAAGAGACTGTGGGTGCGTCGGAAACAAAGCGGGGTGAGGTTTGACGGGTGCTCATGCATGCTGGGGGTAAATGTCAACCTCTGTTTCCTCTCATTTGAGAGTTTCGCACAGAACCAGCACTATACTACAGGGCTACCGCTGTCATGTTTTGTGACATGAAAGTCCTCTCCATTCTTCTATATTTGCTGTTACTTCATAGAATTGGAAGCGCTACAGGAGAGTGTCTAGCAGGTATGTATGATTATGGTTATATAATATTTCTCTGTTGAGTTGAATGTAATATTGGTCACATGAAGCAGCTCTTGAAAGATGTCCATGTATTGTAGGTCAGAAGGTAAACTACAGCACAGGTAAATGTGAGAACTGTCCAAAGGGTCAATACAGCCCTAAAAGTGGAAACAGTGTTCACTGTTACAACTGCAGCAAATGCAAAAAAGGTAAGTGCCACAGTCTATTCTTTTAGACCGCGAGCTAGTTTTACATTTAAGAATGCTGTATAACAGCAATAGTGTACTGTGTCATAGAATTTGGTGTTTAGCTAACAGCACTGGATTTGTGTAAGAAAACACGCAATTACATAAAAGTCTATTTTCAACAATAGCCCCTTTCACACATACAGACCTTTCCGGAAAATTGCCGGCAATTTTCCGGAAAGGTTGTATGTGTGAACAGGTCCTTTTTGAAAATACCGGTAAATTCGTTCTGGCTATTTTCCGGAAAGAGAAGTTGTAACATTACCGGCAATTTGCCGGAATGCTGCGCTGTGTGAACGCAAAAGGAAGATTCCCGTAATAAGCGCGTGCACGTCTAGAACGTGCTGACGTGAGACGTCTGCTTTAGCCAATTACAACAGTCAGACGCATTTACGTCCGCGCGGTTTGTGAGAATAAAAACCTTTGAATATTTTTCCAGACACATTTAGCTGCTAGAAGTTAGTCAGATCACGTTTATATGTTCTTCTTAATGCCAACTGTGTAAATAATCATCGATGAGATGCTTATGATAAGCCGTTGTTTGTTTACCTTCAAGCTTTGCGTGTGCCTGTGAGCGCCTGCACACGCAAATATTATGAACATCTCGACATGCGAAAGTGATCCTGCGAAAGTTGTTCACAATATTGATCATCCACAGAGTTTGTAATTTAGGCAAATGTTTACAAATACAAGCGCAGCCGTTAAAGCTCATTTGTGGTGAATGATGTCAGAATTTACCGGTATTTTGGAATGGATGTGTGAATGCTCTTTTCCGGAAAATTTCCGTAACGTCCTCGCCTGTGTGAACAGCACTTTTTTGAATATACCGGTAAAGTCGTTCCGGAAATTTTCCAGATATTTACCGGTATCACTGTGTGAAAGGGGCTAATAACTTGCATTGCTGTTTTTCTCAGGCAGTAATGTAATCAATGAGTGTACACTTACCAGCGACACTCAGTGCAGATGTATGAAAGGTTTTACACCTGTCGATACACTAAAAGAAGAGGTTTGTGTCTGTAAAAAGGGTTCTGGAGTGAATAAGAAAGGTAACCGTTAAATCCTACGTAACTGAATATATACATATATATATATATATATATATATATATATATATATATATATATATATATATATATATATATATATATATATATATATATATATATATATATATATATATATATATAATTTTAGTCTTAATTGACTAAAGTGCATCTAATGAAATGTGGACTTTTTTTCTCTAGGAAATGAATGCCAAACATGTAGCCAAGGATTCTTTACAGATAAAGATGACACAGCTTGTCAAAGATGGAAGGAGTAAGTTTTAGCAATGTCAAATGATATATCTTGATAGACTCAAGTACCAATTCAAATGTGTAAACATTCTTACAAAAAACAAACCAGGTTTTATTATAGGGAACTTGTAGCATGTTTTTAGATTCAGTGATTACTATTTGTATAACCACAGTTGGCTGCCATGGGTTGTTTAGCTGGTTGATGTGCGGTTAACATGGTTCAACAACTAAGTTTTGTTTTTGTTCTGTTAGGTTTGTAGTTAAACCATGGTTGATTTTCATAAGGGGCTGTTGTCATTATAGGGAGATGATGGGAAACGAAGAGCATGCTCTATAGTGTAGCCTACTCGGTGAGAGGGAGCCAACGCATAAAAAAAATCCCATTTTAAAAAGATGAATGACTTTCAGTCTGAAACCCTAAAGCATATTAGTCATCTCAGCAGATTTATGCAATGTAAATGAGCGCCCTCTTGTGCTTGTCTGATGATTCAGCACAAAATGATCAAATTGATAAAATGTTTGAAAACCGATTTAACTTATTTAACATTTATTTATTGTGTAAACATGTTAAATTACCTTAATGGGAGTTTTAAACCTGAATACCTTCCCCTATTCTGGTGAACGCAAATGAAGATGTTCTGAAGAATGTTGAACACTAAAAATCTAAATAATAATAATAATTTAGAAATCAACTGTTGAGTTTGTCCATATTTTAAGTCATTTATATTTGTACTGTAATAACATCATCATGATATGTATACAGTTTTCAGCATAAATGAGTAAACGCTGCTTTGAAAATGAATATTTTTTGACATTTATCATTGAATATAGCCAGTAATTTTTGTTGGATTCAAACAAAACGGTTTTATTGAACAGTTGTATTCATTTAAAAAGAGATAGACAGAAAGACATATTTAGATATTTACAATTATATATAACTTATATCATATACATTAACAAATAATTTCTCAAATATATGCATGAATGTGTGTATTTATATAGATATGAAAACACATATAGGTTATGTCAAATCAATCGTTTATTTTGGATGCGATTGATCATGATTAAATGAAATTTTGCCCAGTATATATATATATATATATGTAATTTATAAAACTCTGGTTTCCTGGCCAAATCCCTCCACTGACCCTTACAGTGAGAGCATTGGCAACTGGCGCTGTTGTCCTGTGGCTGCTATCGCATCATCCAAGTGGATGCTGCACACTGGTGGTGGTGTGGAGAGACCCCTCTCATGATTGTGAAGGGCTTTGAGTGTATGGGCATATACAATAAATGCGCTATATAAGTTCACATTACTGTCTTACTTACTCTAAGTGACATCTGAAATTTTTTTCTATAATGAGTCTTTTTCTCAGCCTCTTATGTTTATGTTAAATTATTTCATGTTAAAAGTGATAAAAAAAATAACCTATTATTTGCCATAAAAGTGAAATGACTGAATCAAATGATGTTTAACAGAGCAGATAAATTTTCACAGTATGTCTCATAATATTTTTCTTCTGAAGAAAGTCTTATTTGTTTTATTTCAGCTAGAATAAAAGCAGTTTTTAATAAAAAATCAAAATTATGAGCCCCTTTAAGCTATTTTTTCGATAGTCTACAGAACAAACCATCGGTATACAATAACTTACCTAATTGCCCTGTCCTGCCTAGTTAACCTAATTAACCCAGTTAAGCCTTTAAATGCCACTTTAAGCTGTACAGAAGTGTCTTTAAAAATATCTAGTAAAATATTATTTACTGTCATCATGGCAAAGATAAAATAAATCAGTTATTAGAAATGAGTTATCAAAACTATCATGTTTAGAAATGTGTTGAAAAAATCTGCTCTTCATTAAACAGATATTGGGGAAAAATAACAGGGAGCCTAATAATTCTGAGTTCAATTATATGTGTTTATTTATATAATCTCATTTTCTCATTTTGTCTCTCATGAGTTTTGTTCTGTTGAACACTGAAGAATATATTTTGTTGAATGTTGATACCCAGACAGACAGTTAGTGGTACCATAGTGGGGAAAACATTATGGAAATCAGTTGTTACTCTCTGGTTACAACTTTCTTCAAAATATCTTCTTTTCTGATTAGTCATATAGGTTTGTAATTATCATGAGTAAATGGTTGAATTTTAATTTTGACTTAACAAACGCTTTTTCCCCTTTAATCTATAGGTGTAAAAATGGGGTTAATATCTCAGGCACCACTACTTCAGATGTTGTCTGCAATAACATAAAGACAGAGGAGATAAAAGCTCCTACAATCTTGATTCCCTTGTTCCGGACAGCCAAACCCACTTTTGCAGCCACTTTAGGAACTCAGACCACTTCAGGAACTACGACCACTTCAGAGACTAAGACCACATCAGGAACTACGACCTACTCTCCCGGAGAAAAAGCAGACAGCTTCTACATCTTCTGTAACCTACTTTTCCTTCAGTATCTCCAGATTTATTATTCAATTACAGTTTGTGTGCCTCTCACTTAACATGAATTTCATTCTAGGGCTGATTATAATTTGTGCTACTACTACTCTTCTCCTTGCTGGATTCTTGTACGGCAAGAGATTCACCCACTGCGTTCATAACCTCAAGAAAGCAAACTCTCGAAAAGGTGAAGTTCTTTTACTTTGGCAGTTTGACCTTGTTTGTGTGTGCAGCATTTATTTACTGTCTATATCTCTATTTAATTTGTTCCCTCTAGAAAGCACATGCAGAAAGCCTGTTGAAGAATCTGGGGAAAAGTGCCTGTCTTTACTTGTCTAACAGGTTAATTGGCCTTAGTGTTTCTTTTTGGGGAATATTTTGTATGCAAGAAATAGTAGTTGTTATATAACTAGTCAAGCTGCTGTTCAAAACCATTTAAAACATAAAACCAATGTTTAATTGTCATTTTCTGAAACCTGCGTACATAAGGGGATGTTTAGGATCTCATTTACACCTCCTTTTTATGACATGAATTTAAACATTCATGTAATTTATCTACATGAAAAGGTGGTTTGCACTTTGGATCGCATTGCACTTGTAGTGTAAATGCTCATTCATTTGAATTCAGGCGGCTTATTTATTTCAAGCCGTGAATTGATTTCATTACTTTGAAATCCGCTGATTAGTGAATTCAAATCTCTACCTTGGCAGAATGCGCACTGCAGTTGACCGCTGTCTGTGGGTTGACTGGTGGATGTCATTTCTATGCCACCACAGTTGTTTGCCTCAGTCGTTCTTGTAGTGACTCATTCACTCCTAAGAGATATTTGATAAACTCCTATATCTAGATGATGTACACAGGGTTCCCACGGGTCAGGGGATTTCTGCAATATCATGGAATTCTAAAAAGTCTGTTCCAGATATGGAATGTCTGGGAATTTTTAGGAATGGAAAGATAATACATTTAAATCCAAATGCTTTATTGCAAACACAATAACAAAAATTAAAGAAAAAAATTATTTGATTTTTCTGATGATTTTTCACTTATTATAATTTTTTTCCCCCAGACGTATTTATTTGGGTAATCTCAAGCCGCTACTATTTTTCGGTACAATTTTTTTGCCTCTGATCTTAATGTTTTTTCTTAGATTAGTTTTAGATTTGGATTGGGTACTGACTAATCTAATTTTATATATTTCAACACAATCTCACTGCAATTCGTTTCAATCATTTTTAATTTAGCGGCTTGAGATTATTGCACACTAAATCCAAAATTTTCGTCTGATATTTTCGCACATTAAAAAATAATTTCGACCTTACATGTGTCAATCATAAAACATTTAACGTGTCAATTTGAAACTTTCATAGATCGAAAAAAATTCAAACCAGGTTTGTTTTTTTCCACTTTTCGCATCCAAAAAAGCATTTTGAGGGGATTTTTGACAATTCAGAAGCACCGTACATTTAAAAAGATGACAGAAAAGCTAAATGTAAACTCTGTAAAACTAATATTGAGCTGTCAAATATGGGAGAGGGAGCATTTTGCGGTCACACAAACTGTAGCATACATGACTTCAAAATCTCAGGTAATTTCTAAAATTTTTTTCATAGTGGCTATTAAAATTATGCAAAAGATATTCAAGCCATAAAACTATTTTATTATTGCACTGAAAAAAGCCTCATTGGATCAACTAAAATAAATGACTTCATTTATTTAAGTTTTTCTAACTTATTTATCCCTGAAACCATAATAAATTAAGTGGATGAATTCATTTAGTTTTAAGAAGCTGAAGTGATTGAAGTTTTCACCTTTTACAGTGTGTGTTGTTATTATATTGTAAATATATACAGTAAGCGGTCTGTTTTTCCATTCTAGTTTGTTCCGTTTTAGTCAAACTCAGGGATTTTGATATTTGGCTTAAAGTGGGAACCCTGTTCACATATTTTGTTTTGCTAAAGACAACTTCTGAGAATCTTCATTGTATTTATTTGTATTTTTGTGTGTAGCCTTTTATAAAGAATCATTAAGTTTCTGTGAAATGAAAGTAACTTAGCTGCATACATACAGTAAGTAACGCAAGTGTGTTAGTAGATTGTTAGGCTAATTAAAATACTTGCCAGATTTGCTTATATTCAACGCATTGTTTAAAACAATCATTTTTCGACTGAAAGTTTGTTGATTTTTGAGACCATGCTTTGCTTTTGCTAACTACCGCGTAACTCTTCAATTCTTAAAACTCTTCTCAGATTCTGACCGATTTTGTTAAAACGATATGGCTAACATTAAGATTTGTGTTTTCATCTTATGGTTTTAGCACTTGCACTTAACAGCGTCAGATCTGGTATAGTCCCCTCCTACATTTGTTTCTTCCGAGAGTTGGCAGTGTCGCCTGCCTCTGTCTGTACTATAGAAATGCAGTGAGGTTCTTGGGAGGCGACAGCTTTCGGTTGAACCTCTTCAGAATTTCCATGCATACATACGCAAGCACTCACGTTTCAGCCGTTAAATCTGTATGGCTATACTCCTTCCTCTGAATAAACCACAACCAACTGCAGGTGCTTGCGTAGGCTTTTTTTGTGTGCGTGTGTGTATGTGCGTGTATTACAGAAAAAAGATCTTACTTTGACTGGTTGTATGACACTTCTGAGAAATTTCTCTTTAACAGCTTGTGAAGTGTTATACCAATATGCCAATTAAAATGTTTTTCAAGGAACATTGTGTTGTCTCTTTGTTTATTTCTCAGATAGTTAAAAAGGGTTTATATCTGTGATAATATGCAAAGAAGGGAGAGATTATCCAAACGTAACGTACACTTATTTTAAAATAAATGGGTATCAAATAATTAATAATGGGTCAACATGATTAATTTATCGGTCACACTTTATTTTGATGCTCTGTTTGTTGAATTTAAGTTACATTGCATTCTACATGCCAACTAATTCTCATTAGATTATAAGTAGTCTGTTAAGGTTGGTGTAAGTTGACATGTACTTGCAAAGTTTCTTATAGTCAGTTAAATGTCTGTTGAAAGAAGCAGACAGTCTACTAATACTCAAATGGACCATCAAAATAAAGTGTTACCCATTTTTCTATTATGTCAGAAGTCTTTAGAATGTGATGTAAAGATGATCTTCCATGAAGATATTTAGCAAATTCTTCAACTGTAAATGTATCAAAGCTTAATTTTTGGTAATATGCACAATAACTTTATTTGCACTTTAAAGATTATTTTCCAACACAATCTCATGCCAATTCGAAACTTCTTGATTTAGTGGCCAATTCGTATGAATTCGTACAATCTCACCCATACAATTTAGTATGATGTGCTCATCTCTCAATGACGGTTGGGATGGTTAACGCGTCCTTTTTAAAATACTACATTTTGACTGGACTCGTACGAATTAGCCACTAAACTGACAAAATGTGAAATAGTTATGATTCCTCTTGAGAGCAGGCTGGATTTTCTAAATATTTGGATTTATTTTGACTGTCAGATTTCAAATAGTTGTTTTTGCAGCCAAATGTTGTCCTATTCTGTCAGGATTAAACAAATATATATATATATATATATATATATATATATATATATATATATATATATATATATATATATATATATATATATATATATATATATATATATATATTCCAAGACCCAGGAAAACAGAATAAAATAATTACTTTTGGTTGCTCAAAGGGCAGTCCTTTAATGCCAGCTTTTATAGAGGCATACAAACACAAGCACTGGGACATTTGATGTTCTGAAGCTCCTCACCTTGTTCTCCAGGACTGATATTTTAAGTAAAGATGCTGAATTGTACACTATACACTATGCTATTATACATTTATGGTTTAGCATTTCCCAGTATCCTAATTTCAATGGTTGATTTCCATTCATAACCCAATCATTGACCACCTTCTTAAAAATAAATCTGTTTTCTGTTCTGGTCTCAAGCCTTGGCAAATAACTGAGAGAGCACCAATAAGAGGCCTCATTTATACGATTTCATTATGTACAGTAGACTTCTTGTACAGTATTTGACAGTATTTTAAAACTACAAAAATACAAGACACTAATGTATTTTGATACAAAATATAAAGGCATTTTCATCAAAGGTATTAAATATAAATGACAAAATACTACTTTGTACGTGAAATACGTACTTAAAATACATGTATCATAAGTACTGCCCATACCTGCTTGTGGTCCAAACAAAAACCTATACATTTGGAAAATGCATTATTAACAATGAACGTCAGTTTCAATATAGGCACACATTTGTTTAAACCATGTTAAATAATTTCAAGAGCTATTCACATCCTCAGACTTGGAAGAATGTTTATCAATGACAATGCAAACAATGCATTTCTACCAAATAGTTGACCATATTTTGACTGTTTTAAATAATGACTGTTAAAGTTATTTAAAGAATGATGGTAATGGTTAATAATGATTTACACACACAGCATTGTTGGTTTACAAAAAAAAAAAAAAAAATCAAACAAACAATCCTATTGAACTACTACATTTGATTTTGGTTTTATTGTAAAAAAAAAAAAAAAACATGTTGAATGAGAATGTGAAATATTTTATGCCATACTTAAAAAAAAAATATGATTCAGTATTCAAAAACGTTTAATTTGGATTATATCTTTAAATTAATTTGGTCTTACACTTCATATTTTCATATTTTTTATAGTATATCTCATAAATCCGGTAGTTTTACCATAAACCGACATATCAACCATTTGGTAGAGGCTGATATTTTAGAAATTATGGGATGTGTTGAAAAAAATGCATTGAGTGTGTTAACTAGCGATGTTTAATATTTCAATAAATATTTAGGAAAACAAGAAATCAAACAAGACACAGGTGAGCATAATCGGCAGCAACGATAAGTTACAGGACATTTCAAAAAGGACCACATTTTGTTTCGAACTTACTTTATGAATATCTAAATTGGTAGGTCTATATTGTATGAATAAACTACATCAACCTTGTCACTGTCATATGACCGCAAAATCGATTTACTTTCGAAAGTCGTTGTGCTTTAAAATCTTATCAGAAGTTGTAGGTCATCCAGGTACATTTCGAATACTCTCTTTATGAGCACTGCTGATGCATATATTGTTTGTTTTTAACTGTACATTCTTTATAGTGTAGATGTAGTTGCAGGGAAAGAGTCCTAAGGATAGAGGGAGAAAATAAATCACGAAACAAAATATGAGTACTTTCGAAAGAACTCCCCGATTGTTCTTTTTTGTGTCAGAGTGCAGCTACCACTACAAATGAATCATTTTGGTTAAAAGATCTGAAACAAGAAGTCAGGTCATAAAAGTCCCTTTCAAGCCAGCTCAATCCAATATGAATTTCAGAACGTATGGAGGCACTAATGTGAAAGCAGAAATGTGTTTCCATTTCCGCTTTTTTGTTTGACGTAGCAGCATCATCTGCTGCACAACTGAAGATCGTCTTTTCCAGACCAGAAGCACACTACATGTCTTGTTTTTTATCTAAAATCTCCTTGAGATAACTTGTACTCTGCCATGCTTGCATAAAGAACATTTTTGATGTAATCTGCTTGCATTGGCGGTGTGTGTGTGATTGGCAATCTTGGAACTTGTTCATTTTGTTACATCATCTGTAGCTCAGGAAAATGAACCACTTCCCTTGCTTCTTGTAAGAGAGAGCCTCATTGTCACCAAGGCCAGAATTTCCCTCACACTATGGTTTGAGTTCTTGTAACAGAGCAGCAAACTCTCTACAGCATCCTAGCAATGACTGCAAAAACAGCAGTTGAAAATAACCTAAAACCATGCATTCAGAAAATCTTTTTTTTTTCTGCACAGTCTCTGTAAATATGAAACGCCAAGCCACAAAAAAAAAAAAAAAAAATACTTGCTTACTTATTCTATGAAATGACCTTTGAGTTTTAGGTGATTTTTAAACTTTCAGAATGTGTTTACATGTTGATGTGGAGACATATAGAGTTAACATTTCAAACAAATGTCCGCAATGTGACTTTTATATGTAAATATATCTAACTGGAAATTATTATTAATACTTTAACATTTACAATGTCATTCAGTAGACGATTTAATCCAAAGCGACTAACAATTGAGGAGGCATTCAGCGATCCAACAAGAAGAGGCAATGTATGCAAGAAGTGTTAGTTATACAAAGAAACAGTTTTTGCTGAGAAGTAAGTACTAAAGTTAAAAGTTTTTGCGAGAAGGTTTTTACAGGTAGTTTGTCAAGCGCACTCACCTGTGGAAAGCATGCTTTATAATAGAGCTGCATGATTAATCGAAGAAAGATTGCGATCTCAATTCGACTCCCTAGACGATCTTAATCCAGCATTTCTACGATTCTGCCAATCATATTTTCAAGTTCAGGAGAGAAGCAAAGGCGGCTGCACGAGTTTTTTCATTGTTTCACATACATTGCTCAGTGTCACCTCCAAATGGTATTAAAAAAGTCACATACTGTATTTATTGACCTTATTCTAAAATGCGGAAGTGCGCCTGTTTTCGCGATTGTCTTAGAACTTCCGATTCAGTCGCCTATGGGAGAAATGACTAGGAAAAATAAACGGCAGAAAACGGTCAAACTACTTGCTCTACAAACAAATGTTTGCATGACTATACAGACCAAGTAGTATAATATAACAAGAAAATATCAAATTGCAACATCAAGCAGCGAAATGAGCAGTTTTTAATGTCTAAAAATGAATGGAAGTGAATGAGACCGGAAGTCTTGAGCCAAAAAGATTCAAATGGCAGCGCCCGCTCGTCTGCGGAGAATAAGGTCAATAAGGTAAAATTCACCTAAAAATGTCATTTTTGTCTTCATATAATGCTGTTTTCACGGCCACAAAATGCTGTATTCGCGACCGGAAAATCACACGTAACGTCAGCTGTTGACCGTGAGCTGTTACCACAGAGAGAGCAGGCGCGCCCTACTTGATGATAGATGCTCGCGCGTCTACTTTAGTGAACAGAACCTGCACAGGCTGTGAATAACAGGTATTAAAGTTGTAAATAATATTCAGTTTGTGGCACAGAGTGATCGTTTGAGAGCATGCGAAGTATAAACAGCACTTAGCAGCAGGCACTTGCACACATAGGGCTCATCAACCTGTGCAGTGCACATGCCCTTTTTAGTCTTGGATAGAAAGTGCCCTTCCAAAATCATCTGAAGTGCCCCCGCGACATTCCCCCATCCCCACCCGCTCTTCAGTTCGCGACAATAATAATTGCAGACTCATTTTAACCTTTATTTTACATGTACAGAATTGTGCAAAAATCATGATCTTTATTTTAAGGAAAAAAAAATGTGATTCTCATTTTAGCCAGAATCGTGCAGCTCTACTTCATAAATGCACAACGTGTTTGTTTATATGGAATGATTGTAAGAACGTGTCTGGTGCAAAAGTCAGTCAAAGTGTCAGGGAGATGAAAGAGTGTGTTTTCTACAGGGGGTTTGTCAAGCCCACTAACCTGCATGAGCGACAGTTGTAATTGATAATGTTTTGGGCCGTCCTGTGGTGAGGTGAGGGAGAGGAGTGAAGTTGGCGGTTCGTTCCGCTTTGGCGACCCCAGATAGATAGAGGGACTAAGCGGAAAGGAAAATGAATGAATGAATATTATTTTTATTATATTTTACATTAACATAATGGATCTAGACTAAGCGAGAAGAAAAAAAAAACATAC